GGGGGTGTGTGTGTGTACCTTCAGGTCGGTGCTGAGTTTTGGCGACTGCCTGGACAAGTCCATGTGGTCTTCTTGGACAAATTTTGGAAGTGTTTTCTTCCATTGCATCCTTCATAGTGCTGAAAGAAAGTGACTGGCCCAAGGTGACCAAGGTGATTATGTCTAAGGCAAGACCAGAATTCAGTCTCCTGGGTTTCTAAATCTGATGACTAAACCATTGCATCAAAGTAGCTGTCACCAGTAATGTGATCAATTTCATTATCTGTCTGGTGATGTCCAGGCATATAAGCATTTAATTTTTTAAAAGATGTTTTAGCAATAAAGAAACCATTGGGTTGGCAGAAATTGAAATCCTCCGCTGTTTTTTTCTATTTCCTAGTCCATCAAACTATGTTTTTCTCTTACTATTTTCCAACTTTGGCAATCCAGTCTCCAATCCAGATTGCAGCAAATCCTGCTTGCATGTTCTGTCAAATTATAGATTGAACTTGAGCATAAATCTCATCCATCTTTTCTGTTTTTGCATCAGTAGTTGGGAGCATAAGCACTTGGATATTCTTCATATTAAAGGTATCTGTGAAGTCTAACTGATATTATTCAATCACTGACACAAATGTGCCCAGTTTTTGCTATATCCTTCCTATGAAAGTGTAATGGCATATGGGAATGACCTTGAGAAACAAGGAAAAGAGATGCTGTCTAGAGAACAATCAGATAAAAAGGGACCAGGCCCACATTTGAATAATGGGCAGAAAGAGACTGAGAAAGGATCTGCCCCAACTTATCAGGCGCTAAAAAAGAGATTTATACTTTCAAACTTGCAAGATGCTGTTAATGCAGCCTTGCAATAAAATAGAATTAACTCATCTTTCTGTGTTTGCCATCTGATCTACTTGGAAGGATGGCAAAAAGCAATACAGTTTATTTTTAGGAAGGAAGAAAAAAAATAAAGAAAAAGCTAAAAGTGCAACAAAAGCGGGGGAGGAAAATAGAAAAAAATATATATTAAAAAGTGACTTTCACTCTTCTTTACAGCAGATTTAAGCAAATGATACATTTACTTCTTTACGTAGTTTATAAATTTAATTGCCTGTCCAAGGATTTGAGCTCCATGGCATCCAAGCATGCAGGAGCTAAAATCTTTCCTCAGGCAGCCCTTTTGTACAAGCTGAAATGCTTCTGCAGGCAGCTCTTTGAGCCAGCTCCCAGACACAAGACACAGCTGAAATCCAAGAATAGAGAGGCAGCACAGTAAGGTAAGAAGTTTGGGATGCCTCAGAGTTGGGGGAAACCCTTGGGAGGCCCAATAGAGGCTGCCACAAATGTCTCTCCTCTCAGGAGCTGAAAACCTTCCTTGGATTTCAGCAAGATTTTCAACTCCTGAACCGATGATCTGTGCTAGGGCTCTCAGGGTTTTTCCCCAACCACAGAGTCACCCAGGCTCTTTACCTGGGACTCCATCCACTTAACAACTTTTAAAATTGCTTAACAATCGCAGCAATGAGACAGATCTACAATCCCTTTAAGAACTTTTCTTACAACATAGGTATATTCTTGATCATATTCAAATGCCTTTTCTCGGTGGTTTTATCAAATCAGAATTAGGCTGGAGATATAATTCAGGCTGATCCAAAATGTCATGTTTCATTTGGGGCTTTATCCCTGAAATATCTAAGCCACCATTTGTCATTTTCTAATGCAAATGTAGCCCAGAGTGACTTTGATGCACGATATTTCTTTTAATAATAAACTTAACAAGAAAATAGCTTTGCAATTTAAATAAAATAGTTACTAATTTGGTGTGTCATGCGGAACCAATAGATTTATTCAATAAACAATGTTTACACAAACAATGACCTAGAAAAAAAATCAGGTCATTGGAGTGACATATTTTAAAATTTACCAAAGGCAATCAGAATACTGAAATAATTTTGATAATGGCATATTGAAATTAAATGTTTATAACACATATATACAGACAAGTTCATCAGTGCATGGTGGAGCCTTCATCTATGGGCTATTGTACCTCAAAAGATTCTGTTTGAATACATGATCTTTCCCTAGAATTAGATTCAGAACATATATATATATATTTAGATGGAGATTAGTTCACAAGATAAGCAGAAGTAGCACATACCCAAAACAACCAGAAATTTATATTTGTGTTTATTCCCTTTCTCAAAATTATAAGTACTATTAAATAAGACTTATATTCTAGACTAAAAACTATGGAAGCCCACCCTCCAAGCAGATATTTTGTGCCCATTAAGAAAGACTGAACCAGCCTAGCTACAAAACAAAAGACCTTCAGCTTCAAGGTGATGGGATTAAGAACAGGACATAGCCCTTCAAGATATAATAGGAGTAGCCCACTACCATTTAGCAGAAGATATAGAGCTCATTAAACTGCACAATCTCCTAAGACATTTCACCACCCCAGAGCAGTCAAAACTTCAACCAAACTCAGCTCAAACAAGCACCTAGGATTTCCATTTCCTCTTTTGCCTATAGAGCCAACTATGACCCCTACATGAACCTGACAACAGCCAATATAATATTAAAGGACATATTCTTGCACAGGAACAGGAAGCTCAAATACAAAACCCAAAGAAGGTATAACCCCTCCCCCCATTTCCATTTTGTCAGCTGCACCAGAACCATAAACACTGGTGGTTCTGTTCATCGTTAAATCATCTTTCCAATCAGCCTTCATGTTTCCAGTGTCTTTCTCCCAGCTTAGAACTGAACCAGATGGATATTTCTTCCAACAAAACATTTAAAATCTTCCAAATATCATCAATGTTGTCTTTATTGACTACTTTAAAGTTCTTTAAATAATGTGTCAATATTTTTAATTCTAGTACCACAGATAGATTGGTCAACTAATTTACATATTAAAGGGACCGGTATACCATTAACAATCAAGTATCCTTGATGATATATAATATTAGAGAAATGTTTTAGCCATCCCGGAACCCTAGCTAAGAGGAAGAGAATGCAAGACAAGTACGCTCTATGGAACAAGCTGAGTAACCACTTTCTCATACTTTTAAAACCTACCCAAATCTATGGAAGAAAACTGAAAAAGAAGATCATGTTCATGTAAAAGTAATATCATTTGCTCACTGCATGGGATTATCTAAATTTAAGAATTATTACAATGGTAAAGGATAGAGCACCAATGATATAGACCTATCATTATCGCTAGCATTATTTAAAAGTTTAGAAAACAAATAACTGATTCCTCTATGGGAAAAAAAGAGAGAAGAAGAGTCATACTCAGGACTTTTCTTAAGAAAAATGTAAAGGGCTGTCCTACATCTTTTATAGCCTTCAAGAAATCTTGTGGGAGAACATATGCACATCAAAAGCAACTGTTTTCCTACTGTGCCCCAATTACATACTGAGCATATATACAAACTGGCAGACAAAAATCAATGCACAAACCAGAACTTAGATTTCAGACATATCTTGAATACTTTTTTCATGAGTGCGAAACCTTTCATTATCAATGTGTTATTAAAATTCATATCAGTAACATATCTGGATTGATTGCCAAATGTAAGATGTAAATCAGACCTCAAAGATCCACTGAAAGCAGTATGATTTAGTATATCAAGCCAAGCCTGACTTGTCTAATTCCAATTCATAATTACCCTGGAGAATGAACCAAACCATTGCACTACTATTGTAACAATAAAAGTACCAGAAGGAAATGTATTTGCTTATATATTTTAAACCCTTAAGGAAGGATTCTTCGTGCAAATAAACCAGCCCTGAGGTTGTTCATCTTGTGTGAGATGGGTAGCCATATAAATTGGATTAAATAAATTCAACCTTGTTTTAGTAAAATAATAACCCAACTTGAGTCTATCAAGACCTTAGCAATCAATAATTCACAAGAAAAATAAAAATAACTACAGGTAGTCCTCACTTAACAAGTGTTCATTCAGGGACCCCTCAAAGCTACCATGTTTTTAAATTAATGATAATCATGACCAGTTCTCAAAGGTTACAGCGCCCTTGTGGTCACATGCTCAAAATTTGGGTGCTTGGGAGGTCACCCATATTTACAACGGCAATGTGCAATTCAACTCCCTTACTTATCTCTCCCTATCTCTTCTCTTTTGCCCAATCTACAATCTGGTGTGGGAGAAATACCAAGTTGAGCCCGAGGGAGGGGTCAAACACATCATAAGTCACAAATCCCTGCGTACCTGCAAGAGATCTAAGTCCACCCCCCACCTTGAATTCCTTTCAATTCTTAACTCCCACACATTTCCCCCAACGGTCACTTGGCCAGATTCTTGTTGAGAGCTTAAGCTTGCAATAAATCTTTATACTCAGTTGAACTGCCTGAATCTCCTGATTTCCTGAGTGCTTGACATTTGCCACTGCTGCCTATCTCTCCCACCTATAGCTGATCTTCATCCTCATATTCCTCCACAAGGAGTTTACAAGGCCTTGAACGTTCCTAGAGTTGTGAAGGCATTAGAAAGGAAGAGCAGCTGCCTCAGAAGACGCACCTCGCCAGCCGTGGAAGGAAGGTGATCAATCTAAGCTGCGGATGGCTGAATGCATTGTTTTTAAATCAGTCTGGACAACTGACATAATTTTCCCATCTTGTATTATTTGTATGAATGAATAAACTATATAAATTACATCATTATGCAAATCTCAGAAACCCACATAATGTAAACTCTGCTAATTACATAAAAACAAAAGTAAGTGACAATTGAGCGTTAGTGGGCAGCCTTTCCTCTCAACTGGCCCGTTGCATCAAAATTTTACTGCGCATCATGGTTTAGAGTGATATATGAAGTCATCCACAGCATTAATATTTATGAGCAGTACCTGACAAATGTGTCAGATTTATGTCAGAGAAATGTATTAATTATGTGACATAATTAAAGGAAAGCAAGTTAATTGTTCACTATGGTTCACTATAGTTCACAAATCTTTGAAGACAATTGTTTTCAATTATCAGAAAGCACACTTACCTTAGAAGTGCTGGAATGATATTCCATAATCCAAGCCAAATACTGGAATTTTCACAAGCATTCGTGTCCAGAAATCCAAATTTATAAATCCAAGCACTGATGTCTTCTTTTCTTTGTTCTGTATTCCATTCCACCATTTGAAAGTTAATAAAATGAAGTGTCCAACCCGCTGAACTTGATAAGGGATTTAAATATAGCATCTTGGTAGATGTTCTGTTTCACTGACATTCATTTTTCTTATCTATTCAGTAAAAATAAAAGGTTGCAAGGTTACATACTAGCACATATCAATACTTGTACTATAAAAATAACATCAACCGTAAGTGTAAGCAAATTTACTAAGGATTTACTAGATTGCTTGTCAACTGTACTAAAACATACTTACCCTATTTTTAGCTATATTGAATATGCTTACTCAGAAATACGTATGCTGCAGATATAATTTACAGGTAGCCTTCATTTAGCGACAGTAATTGGGACCAGCAATTCAGTCATTAAGCAAAACTATTTCTGGGTTTACAGTCTTATTTCAGCTTTCCTTTGCTTTAATGACCTGCAAAGGTCATAAATGCAAGAATTGATCATAAAATTACTTTTCCATCACCATCTTAATTGTTATGGCCACTAAACAAGACGGCCAGCATGCAAGGACTACCTGTATATCTAAAGATGTAACTACAGAGCATAGTCAGTGCAAATTCACTCAGAATTAAGCCTTGTTAAGTTCAATGACAGCAAAAGTGTGCCAGATTTCAGACTACCATTCTCGATCAAAACCACTGAATAATAGGGCTATTAAGCATCACCAACTGGGAGTTGTTTTCTTAAGAGCTGGAGTCAAATATTATACTTTGGAGCTCTATTTCTGGAAATGTATTTTCATTTAATAAAATATCAAGGCAAGCTCTTGTTTCAATCTGTTTAGGCAATTCACCTAAATTATGATAATTAGTCTATCATCGTTATTAAAATAGTTTAAACTAAATACTTAGATGAAGTCCCATCCTTAGACCCTTCAAATTTATTATGTCAACTCTTAGATGTTCTTTGTGGCTGTTGAGACTTTAAGGAGTTACAGTTTCAACAAACATGAAATGGTCCAAGATTGGAGAAGACAGCTTGCTTCCAACTTTCTTAAGAGTTACATTTTAATTGCAAATTACTAAAAGACTGTTTATAAGACATTACTAATATACGGTTGCAATACTGAGTTAAAACTGATGAGCTAAACCACGGCTATCCCTCATTTAATGACCATAATTGGGATAGGCAGCTTGATTGTTAAGTGAAACAGTCACTAAGTGAAACCAGTATTGCCAGCAAATAAAAAGCAAATGAGTGCACCCTCCAATTTTAGTGTTAATCATTAAAACAAGCTTTAATTTGGATAAACTCACGCATTTTAATAAAATTTAGATCTTTTGCAAAGTACACAATTACACTGACTGGGTTCACATATCATATTAATATCAAACCGAGAGCCAGTTTGGTCTAGTGGTTAGGACACCAGACTAGAAAGCGAGGAATCATGAGTTCATATTTCGCCTGAGCCACAAAAGCTCGCTGGGTGACTTTGGGCCAGTAGTTGTTGTTGTGAGGAAAGCAGGAGGAGGGAAGATGTGTTGGCTATGTTTGCTGCCTTGAGATATTTGTAAAAATAATAAGGGCAGGATACAAGTAAATAAAATCATGATAATCCATTTTCATGACTTGAATCTTTAAAAGGAACAACGTGAAGAACTACATATTGGCCAAGTTCACAGCAGTTTCTAAACTCCCAATCACAGAAGCAGCCATCTAAATTCCTAGTCTTGATTCTTCTGTTTTCAGAGAAAAAAGCGTTTGATGTCAACACACACAGTAAATTAACGGAAAGGAAATAAAAGAGAACCTGAAAAGTTCCTGAAGAGAAAGACATCATCAAGATAGACAGATTAAAGTACTGAAACACACACACACACACACACACACAATATTTCAGGGATGAGATGAAATACCAGCATGAGATAGTTCAGCAAGTAAGAAATGAGGTCTCTCTTCTTGTACCAACATCACTGAAGCATTCTCCTAAAATTTGCACATATTCATCATTAGTTTTCAGTTGAAAAAAATACTGTATAAAGCAATGCTTCCCAAACCTGGGTGAATGATCCAAAATGGGTAAAAATGGGTTTTCTGGGGTAACAACACATGAACCCACTACACAATCACAACAATTACATTTATATTGACTTAAAGTTGTTCTACCTATTTGTACATTGGGTAAAAAGGCATTCTGATAAGCAGCTTTGAGTAATGAAGGAAAAAGTTTGGGAAGCACTGCTATAAAGTAAGTCTGTAATTTAACGGACTAATAGTGACTCTTAATTCAGGAACTTCATTAAATCCAAATGGCAAATTTGGAAAAATAACATTGCAAACAAGATTTTATGGATGTGCAGCCAAACACAGCAGCATCCAAAATCTAAACCGAAAGATTACTGTATATTTATAAATTAGATAATGACTCTAACAAAGCCTGGCCATACAACGCAACCAGAATGCCAATAGCTTGGCTGAACAATCTTACAAACCACCATCCACTGGCAGTTATAAATTGGTATAATTCCACAAGAAATATCAGTTCTAGAAAGCCTGCTCCTCCACTACCACAATACATTAAAGCACATATATACACAGCAATTGATTTGGTCTCTTTTAGTGTTTTGTATGAATGTTTCACTCTAGCTTATAAATCATGATTTATGGTTTGTCTTGCTTCGGTCCAGTTCATTATGACTTACTTGATAAACTAGAAAAGCATAACATGCGAAGCTAGTCTATGTTACATTTATGTGACAAACTTGAAACTTTGCAATATCTCCCCAAAACTTTTTAAAGATAAAAGTCTGTGAAATGAAACTTCACTATAACAATCTACCCCAATCCAAAACCTTTCAGGGAGCGGGGGCTAACTCTTTGTGTGACCTTGTAAAATTGTTTGTGGGACTTGTAATTCAAAAAATGCCCTAGGAAAGGGAAGACTTCATTGGAAAACCTTAGTCCACTTCAGAAAAATAGGGAAAGACGGTGAATTTATGGTGCTGGCACAGCATAAAAATAATAAGAGTAAAAACTACTTGACCTGATTAAAAACTACTGAGAACTCAAAAAATATTACAGTATGCATAAGACAAAAAAAGTTACAGAATAGATACAGTAAATGAAATAAAGTACAGGAAACAAACAGGAACAATGGGACTGAGAAAAGAGATTGAAAAAAAAAAAAAGGATAAAGCTAAACAAAAGGAGGAGCAGAGGACAAGAAATGGAAAATAAGTAAAAGTCCCCAAACAGAAGGGAAAGATGCCAAAGATCTGCAATAAATAGTATTTTCAGAAGTACGCCATGAAGCTGGAACAAAACTGCCTGAAAATCTCTGTCTTAACAAAGATCTTTGTGGGCTTATAAAATGGTCCAAGTCCAAGCATCCTTCTTTTCCAAAACAAAGAGTTATCTGGTGGTTCCATTCTTGTACAAATCTTGCCTCTGTAGGAAAAAGCCACCAGCCACCTGCATTCCACCCACACAGATTCACCCTGGACCACTTCTTCTTCCAAATCCACTTCAATTAAAGCATTTTTTTTTTAAAAAAATATATTATTCAAGCAGCCCCACATACTCACAAGAATCCCTCTTTCACTCTACATTTAGAGAAGTCGCACCTCAGCTGGCAAATACTTTCTTCTGCCTAATACCCAAACTGCCTTACATAAGCGGATCCAACTTGACCACAATGGACATCACCAAAATCAACCCATAAGACCCGGGGGATGATTATCAGACCCAAGTGGATTTTATGTGCCACCCCTTCCAGAAAAATCAGGGTACCTTTCCACGTAAAACTTTTCGCTCATTACAAAGGAAGAAGAGAGAAACTTACATCAACAGCTCACCTTCCTCCTCCTCTAGGTTGCTGGGGGAGGGGGGGATAAAAATCAAGATCCTTGAAGTAATTGTTGGAAAAGTTTGCAAGTCTTTGGGAAAGTTCAAGAAGTGCAAGGAATACCCCTCTTGAAAGACCAGATAAGGCAGGCAGGGAGATGAAGAGTTCATCCGAGTTTTCTCTTTTGTTCAAGCTCCCCGATCAGACAAAGAACTAGCGAGCAGCAGGTTTCTCCCCCTTTCCCTCCCATCTCTCTTCCCCCCCAACCCTTGGGTCCCACAGCAACTCACCAACTTCAGCCGCCCCTACTCCTTCGAAACGTCTGGATCCCGAGATAAGATACAGAAATATACAGAGAGAGGTGGGGGGTGGGGGCGCGCAGGCTGTTGGGCTTCTCGCCTCATCCCTAGCTTCCAGTTCAAAACTTCCCTCTAAGTGAGCCTCCCAGAAAAACAATCTTAATGGAGGCGGAGGAGGCAAGGAGAATCCCTGCGATCGTTATTTCCGGCAAATGCACCTCTTTGTTTGGATCGCCTTGACAGGCGCTGAGAACGATTTTCCCACCCACCCACCCCCGGGCAATCCGGCCGGGTGGGCGCTGGGAGTCCTCTTACCGTTCCCAAGGACGAAAACTGGGGCTTTCAGGAAACCGGGATGGGAGCTGTGGGGAGTGGAAGGGCTACTCAAGCGCCGCGCTTGGAGGAGGGAGAGAGGGGAGGGGTGGGGGACGGGAAGCAAGTTTTGGGTGAAGCCTCTTTCCTTTCACTTTTGGAAGCGCATCCAGGCGAGGAGAACAAAAGCGTCACCCGCGGCCGGGACTCGGCGCGTCGTTTTTCCCGGCTTCTGACACCGCTACCTGTTGCACAGGGCAGAAAGAAGCAGGGAGGGGGGGGAAGCGAGAGCAACCAGCGCGCAACAAAGCGCCAGCCTTTTCACCTGTCCTCCTCCTCCTCCTCCTTAGGAGCAGCAAAAGCCACTTGACTCGGCCGCCAAATACCGACCACTATACGTTGTGGGGGAGGGGGTTGAAAAGCAAAGATGCATGGCGCATCTGCTTTTGCAACAAAACAAAACAAAACAACTGGCCTCTTCAAGAGCCGCGCAACAAGCAACAAGTCGCATCCCCGGATCGCTTCCCAAACTACGAAGCACACCCCGGTCCGCGGCTGGGAGTCCCAATGTCCCAACTCCTCTCCAAAGTAAACCAGTTTCCACCGAGAGGATCGCAAATTGTGGCGGAGCAAGGAAGAAGCGCGCCCCCAGATTCTGCCGCTGCTAAAAGAAAATCCGGGGAGGAGGGAAAGGGGGTCGACTGTCGATCTTATAAACGATGGATGGAATCAAGTGTCTACTCCCCCCCCCCACACACACACACCTCCAGATAGAGAAGTGGGTCTCAAGCATCTGCCGCTTGTCCCATCACCGCGTGTAACTTTCTCGGGCAAATGTACTCATTTATCGAGGGAAACAACAACACACTGAAACCGAGGTGCCAAAGTCCACTGAAAAATAGCCCGGGTAAAGTCTCCCTTCTCCCCCACTACCACGCTGCCAGAAAATAAACTACTTTCATCCACGTGCGCTTAAAAATGGAAAGGGGTAAGAGCTGAGGGGATACAGAATGATATAAAGGCTATGCAGCCGTTCGCCAAATGCTTGCGTGCACTTTTGTGGAATAATAACAAAGGGAGTCTGTGTTGAAAATATTGAAACCAGACTAAAGCTAAAACTCTTTCTTTGCACGTGCTTGCTTTGCCCACCCTAGTGGACCCCTAGAAGAGAGCGGGAAAATCTGGATGACATCACCTTTGTACTCCAGTCTCTGCTCTTCTGAGCTGGATTTTCAACACAAACTTCGTTGGGAATTCCTAATCTATGCTACTTTACTATAACTCTTGCCCTTTAGTAGGGCTGTGTACCAGTGCAGAAGATGCAAGGGATTGGCCTTAAGGATGCAAAGCAAAATTAGGCAACTTTTGGAAACCTCAAACCTTCTGAGGTAAAATGGGAACTCATAAAATGGCTGCCTCGGGATTTTTTTTTTTCCTGCTTCTAAATGAGTGTCTGGAGCCAGTGGCAAAAGACAGTTTAATGAAAGGTGATCCAATCCATTAAGGATGCTGCCTATCATTCATGGGAAACTATGTGGGGTCAAAGGCACTGCTGCAACTTAATGCGGTTCTGGAGATTCCTGTTTCACTTTACAGCATGATTTAATCCTGTTATTAGAAGACATTTTAAGGAAAATTGGATGAGTGGTAGATTATGGAACCTCCAAGAGGTTTTTCGAAGACATGTATGTCAGCAGGCACCACATTCTTCTCTGACCTTAGTGCATCTGCAGAGAGAAATGCCACCCTCTTTCTGGTGACATATTTCTTGAGTAAAGAGGGCTTGGAAGACCCTTTGCTAGTCCACACAGAAGAATTTGCTCAATATATGCCAGAAATGCTTGAATTCATTCACAATTGGACACTGGTCTTACTTAGCTCCAGGGAGATGCCTTGTCTAGTTTCCTTGGAACAGTCTGAACCTGTTTGGCCTAATGAAGTGGGACAAAGTCCTTAGGGCTGTGAGCTCAGCCACTTATTCTTTAGATCAGAGATCTTTAAACTTGGCAACTTTAAGACTTGTCTCCCAAAGGTGCTTTTTGAAGAGGCATCTGGACTTTCTGGTCTTTCATTGAAGACCATTTCGCTTCTCACCCAAGAAGCTTCTAACACTTGTGGATTTCAACTCCCAGAATTCTTGCCAGCCTTGCAACTCCCAGCTAGCCTGGCTGGCTGAGGAATTCTGGGAATTAAAGTTCACAAGTCTTAAAGCTGCCAAGTTTGGAGAGGCCTGCTTTAGATCTATGTCCCTACTGGCTTGTTAAAGCGAGCCAGGGAGATAGTGTTCATATGATCTGGTGATGGTGAATTCTTTCTTTCTTGAGTGAGTTGTTCCTTTACCCCTTAAGGAGTATTTGGTCCACACCCTCCTCAAGATGTCACCACTGGACCCCATGAAACTGCATAATTTCCATCCAGTATCCAACTTTCCCTTTTTTGGGAAGGTGATTGAGAAAATGGTTGTACCACATCTTCAAGAGGCCTTCAATGGATCTGGACCTTTTTCAGTCAGGATTCAGATCCGGATGTAGGACAGAAATTGCATTGGTCATGCTTTTGGATGATTTCTGGCATTGACAGGTTGGAGTTCTGTGTCCATCCTTGCCTTTATTTATTTATTACATTTATATGTTGCCAATCTCACTGTTAATAGTAATTATGGGTGACTTATAATAAAAAAATGAAAAGATAATACAAATACTTTGCTTGATCTCTTGGCAGTTTCGAGACTATCAACCATGGTATCCTGGATCAACTAAGAGGTTTGCAGTTGGGTATTTATCCAAGATCGATTCTAGTTGGTGGTGATTGGTGAGGAGAGATCCCACCCTAAGCCCCTATTATGTGGCTTGCTGCAGTGATTGATGCTTTCTTCTGTCTCTTTTAACATCTGCATGAGACTGCTGGGTGAGCTCATGCATTGCCATGAGTGAGGTATCATCAATATGCTAATGATACCAAATTATAAATCTCTGATCCTGGGGAACTAAGCAATGCTGTGGACATCTTACCCTGGTGTCTAGAGAGAGTCAGTCTGGATAGGGAACAATAGGCTTCGACTGAACCCTGGCGAGACTGAGTGGCTTTGGGTTTTGGAACCCTCTGTTTCTGGGACAATGCCATGTTTGATGCTGGATGAGTTTACAGTTACAATCTGGGGGTCTTCCTGGAGTCACAACTCATGTTCAAGGAGCAGGTGGCACTCATGGTTAGAAGGGGCTTTGCACAATTTTCTGTTGTGTACCCGTTGAGCCCATTTCTGGATTGCAGGCTCTACTCATGGATATTGGTGCCTTCGTCACCTCCTGCTTATACTACTACAATATGATCTATTTGTGGTTGCTCTTGAATTGTATCTGGAAACTTCAGAAAGTCTAAAATGCAGCCGTGCAGGCAACATATCTATCACTGTTTTCCTGGTGGAACACCTGTGTCCTGCAAACTGCATCCGTTGCCCTTAGGTTTCCAGGTCCCATCCAAGATGCTGTTTTTGAGTTTTAAAGCCCTACATGACATGGGATTGATTTATTTGGGGGATTGCCTCTCCCCAATTGCAGCTTCCCATCCCATCAAATCTGGTACAGAAAATATGCTGCAGGTTCCAACATTTAGGAAGTTATATTTGGTGGGCCCTAGGCAGAAGGTTTCCTCAGCTGTGGTGCAGGGGTGGGATTCAAATTTTTTAACAACCGGTTCTGTGGGTGTGGCTTAGTTGGTGGGCATGGCTTGGTGGTCATGTTATTGGCTGGGCATGGCGAACTCAATATCACTCACATTGAGGCATGCGTCTCCTCGCCTGGCCTGTAGTGATTATGGGGATGCTGCAACAGTCTTAATTGTGAAAAATGGTCATAGGACACTTTTTTCAGTGCCATTGTAACTTTGAATGGTCACTCCACACAAGCAAAGTACCAGCAAAGGAGGGAAAAAACAACTCCAGAGACATTCCTGAGACAGGAAGTCTAGTCCTGCCAAGAATGTAATAAGGGTTAATGGAGAGGCGGTTTCTGTAAGCAACACCAGAATGTTTCCTTCCTGCCTTCCTTACAGGATTAGGCCAGTAATTTCTTCTAACAACCGGTTCTCCGAACTGCTTAGAATGTTAACAACCGGTTCTAGTGAATAGGTGCGAACCGGTAGAATCCCACCCCTGCTGTGGTGCCCGAGTTGTAGAACATGTTTTCTCCTGATGTTAGGTTGGCACCATCACTCCTGACTTTCTGAAGGTCCCTCAATATCTTCAAGCCTGGGAACCGCAGGGAAATGGCAAACTAGTGAGGTGGCACCATTATTACTGACATCCCTTCAATCTTTATTTATTTTTGTTAACTGCATTTTTATAATTTTAAATGTTTTAATAATGCTAATTGTTATTATTGGTTTCCCAAAGCCCAAATTATTTGTGCTTTTTCAAGAGGCAACTGGACTTTCTGGTTTTTCTTTGAAGACATTTCGCTTCTCATCCAAGAAGCTTCTTCAGCTCTCAGAGCTCCACAGAGCTGAAGAAGCTTATTCGATGAGAAGTGAAACATCTTCAAAGAAAAACCAGAAAGTCCAGTTGCCTCTTGAAAATGCACCTTTGGGATAACCATGACTTTGATGACTGAGAATCTCCATAGACATATTACTGTTTGTGCATTATTCAAGGGAGATGGATGGTTAAGAAATGAGAAATATAAATAATTTTTTTAACTTTGTTATATGCCTTCCAGACTCACTTGTTTTGTGATGTGGGAAGCTAT